CCACCCCTCACCTAGGAAAATGAAATATTTTAGGATATACTAAAAAGGCAGAATATTTCCCCTAAAAGAGATGTAGAAACTCAGAGAAGCAGAAACTCACTTTGTTAATGGGCCATTAAGGCCTGGGCCAGTCTACTCTACATAACAAAGGTCTACCTCCTTCAGGCAGACCCATAATAGGAACCCCAAAGCCCTTTCATTACACCTTCATCCAGCAAGGGTCAACCAAGCCTGGGATTCAGGACAGCCTATAGAGTTGCCCTTGCATGGCCCCATGGGAGTCTGACAACCAATCAGAATACAAGTTCAAATTCAAATCCCAACAGAGGGCATAAAACCCAGGGACTCTCGGCATCTCTTCCCTTTTCCCACAGGATCTCCAAGGCATGTGATCCTGTTCTTCAATAAACCTTCTTTCCAAGCAACTTCCATGAATCCAGTGTCTTTTTCCCCACTTGGAACTGAACCCAGAAGGATATTTCTTCCAACATTTGTTTTAGCTGAAAGCAAGAGACATCTAAAGTAGAAGTGATTAAGAGGATAGGGAGGCTTCGGGCTTTCCAACCCAACCCAACCCAACCCCCCAAAAAAAAATTGTGGAGAGAAATTCACTAAGCAGAGAAGCATAGCACAGCTCTCATATCAGATAGTTCTCTTCCTTTTCTTGAGGTCATCCTCTACATGTTTGAAAGTCCATCTTTATCCTCCCTGGTAAATGATCCCATTTTCTTCTTTCCTTTCTTATCACTGGTTATTTTCTATGGTCACCATTGGTGCATTAGCAGCAGAGAAGAAGAAGAAAAAACTTCTGCTTTTTACTATACAAACTTTAGGAAATCTACAGAAATTTCATTTTAAAAAAAATGTAAAACTTTCAGAAGATTCAATTGATATTTTTCAAAGACCCAGATTGTAGCCCCCAAAGAGGAAGGTTCTACTTTATGTAATGAAAAGATCCACAGATTAAAACTTCATTATAAATTGTGCCTGTGAAAGAGGAGAAGGAGGAGGAGGAGGAGGAAGAGGAAGAGGAAGAAGAGGAGGAGGAGGTGGAGGAGGAGGTGAAAGAGGAAGAGAAATTTAGTATTCTGGTGGACCTCCTGATATGGTTGAACTTTGATTGCCACCACTCCTACTCACAATATCCAGTGATGATTAGAGATGAAGCATAATAGGATCTGAAAAGCTTCACATTCCTTGTAGGTTGTAGCAGAAAATATGAGAATGAGTCAAAAAACAAGAACAAAGAAGTCAGCATAAGTTTGCCATTAAGCTCTCGTGATAGTAAAGCATTCATGTCTACTAATTAGCAGTGTAATTTCATTTAGGTAAGAATTTATTTTAAAAGTGTTGAGTGAATCCTCATGGTTTTTCTTTGACATATATCAAACAACCTGCATTCCTTAGCAAGCAGGGCAGCTAAATAAACACCGTAAGAGTTTGCTTCCCAGCCTCTCTGTGAAGTCTTTCAGCCTGACATACAAACCCCGTTCAGATGTTCATTGTCATAGTATTGAATTTGCTCATCCAGATACAATGTCAAAGAATCCCGTTCTTTCCAAGTACATCACACTAGATGTTCATTGGCAGGACCAGATGCTTTCATGTTGGCATCAGCCTGGTGTCTCTCTTGGCTGCCCTGCTGAAGGTGCTGGATGCAACTTCAAAATATGAAAGTTCATTTTCTGTAGGTTCTAAGTGGTCCCTAGTGGGCTGCTGAGCCAAAAAACCATCTTTTTCCCAGCCATAATGAGCAGCATTTCCATAAATCACATTAGAACAAATTGTTTCAGAAATATGTTGAGGGAATAACACAGAGAGAAGACAAGACGGTCCTCAGCCCAGTCAAAATGTTCAATTTTATTTTATTTTTTTTATTTTATTTATTTGTCAATTGTTTACGAGATAAGTAAAAGTGTATACATAATTATGAATACATGAAATGAGTACATATAAGAAAAATAAAAGAAAAATAAAAAAAACAATAGGACAGGGACGGTAGGCACGTTGGTGCGCTTATGCACGCCCCCTACAGACCTCTTAGGAAAGGGGTGAGGTCAATAGTAGACAGTCTAAGGTTAAAGTTTTTGGGGTTTGGGGAAGAAACTACAGAGTCGGGTAGAGTATTCCAGACATTGACCACTCTGTTGCTAAAGTCGTATTTCCTGCAGTCAAGCTTGGTGCGGTTAACCTTGAGTTTGTATCTGTTGTGTGTTCTTGTGTTGTTATGGTTGAAGCTGAAGTATTCATTGACAGGTAGGACATTGCAATGTATGATTTTATATACCATGCTTAAATCAGACCGAAGACGGCGTAATTCAAGGTTTTCTAGTTCTAGAATTTCAAGTCTGGTGGCATAAGGTATTCTACAACGAGTAGAGGAGTGGAGAACTCTTCTTGTGAAATATTTCTGGACTTTCTCAATTGTGCTAATATCAGATACGTAATGTGGGTTCCAGACTGATGAGCTGTATTCGAGTATTGGTCTAGCAAATGTTTTGTATGCTCTAGTTAGTAGTGTGATATTACCAGAGAAAAAGCTACGTAAGATTAGGTTAACAACTCTTAATGCCTTTTTGGCTATGTAGTTGCAGTGGGCACTAGCACTTAGATCATTAGAGGTGAGTATTCCAAGGTCCTTTACAGAGCTTGGATCATCAATCATCAATCAATGTCCTTTAAAGCTTCACGCTTTGCAAAGGTGCTTAAGATAAAAATTACCCCATCATGCTTTTAGCTTAGCATTATTCTCCATGTTTATCCATGATTGTTTCATATTTAAAGAACAACAAAATATTGTGTTTTGTCAGCCAAGGACAATAATAGTTTAATAGTAATTTATTTTCCATTGCTACTGATAATACAACCAATCAACACGTTAAGTGGTGCCAGCATTGGCATGTTGCTAAATAAATCTCTAGGCTTTGCACTGCGAATACATCTTTCAAAGATAAGTCAACAAGAGCAATCAGAGCAGAAAATTAGAATTTGGTATGTTAGAATTAAAATACAGCTAAACTAAAGTTTTAATTGGGGTGATCTAAAAGGGCACTTGATGTAATGATCTCTTTCATTTGTTACTAATTGTTTGTTCCTGATGAAGAAGAAACATGTACATGAATGTGTGTCATTTGGAGGGGAAAAAAAGATGGCAGTTGCCATAGCAGCTCGTTTCTATGGTTCAGAAAAGAGGGATCACCCAAAGGAAAGGAAGGTCCCTTGTGAATTTTAACTTCTTTCCTGACACTTCACCACAAGAGATGGATTTTGTTGGGGCTGTAATACCGCATTGTTTGTTTGTTTTTTAAATCTGACCTTATATTTGAACTGGAGGAATACTCTACTGCAGAGCTGTCAAACTTGATTTCATTGAGGGCCACATCAGGATTGTGTTTGACCACGGAGGGGTGGGCATGGGTGTGGCCATGGTGGCCATGGCCAGTTCAACCTCAGTTATGGCACTGTGGTGGCCAAGTGTTAAGGCAGAACTTCCCTGAGACCCTCCCTCACTATTATAATCTCTCTCTCTCCCTCCCTCCCTCCTTCTTTCCTTCCTTCCTTTTCTTCTTTTTCCTTCCCTCTACATTCTCCCTTTGTTCTTCCTTCCCCTCTTTCCTTATTTTTCCTTCCATGTGCGCCTCCCCTCAAGCTCCATTTTCACTGGCAGAAGCACCGCAGGCTGGTCCTTTGCTGTTTCCAGACCAGCCCTGTTGGTCAGAACTAAGCACCCTGCAGCCAGATGCAGCCTACGTGCCTTGAGTTTGACATTCCTCCTCTACTACATTTAGTATTCTCCATTTGAGGCGAGACAAACCATATTTCTTCCTTCTGCTGGAGGCAGAACCCCGCTATCTACCATTTTCTAAAAAAATTGCCCATTTGGTCCCAGATAAAATGGACCAAAGACAAACTCCACGTGCATCCATGTCAAAGGATTAAATTTCCTTTTTCACTATTGGTCTCAATTTGACTACAATAGGCCAGTAGTTTTGGATGACTGTCTCAGATACTTTCCTTGCACAGTTGCAGAAAATGACATAGCTTGGTGAGTTACTTTGTCCATTGATGTTTTCTATGTGTAATACAGGAAAAAGGGAAGCTTTTCCTTCACACCAGATTACTTAATCAAAGGCTGCACTTGGTCATGCTTTGCAATCGCACCCTTCATTTCTGAATTCGGACTTTCAGAAAATTCACTGCAAGTTTTGTAAAAAGCAAAAAAAAAAAAAAAGCCTTTTCAGAAGCCACAGTGAAATCCTTAATAAGCAATCGGTCCCACATGGAACTCCTGGAACTAGTTATGATTTAAAGTATATCAACAAAGAAGTGTGTGGATTTAGTCTTTGCAAACCTCCAAGTTGTATTTCATGGAGAAGATGTGGCCAGTTGCAAAATAGAAATTTTTCTTGCTTTCTTTCCTTTTTCTTTCTTGGCTTGCTCTTAGATCTTTCCAATGCTATACCTTCTAGGTATAGTATAAAGATGTGTTTCTTCCCTGATTTGGACCTGTACTGATGTCATGCCTTCTACATAATTAAATGTCCTTTTTAAAGTAGAGCATAATTCATCACCTGCTTCCTCTTTCAAATAATCTTTATTTTATAGATGTGGGGCAGTAAACCTGAGCTGAATTCATCCATAATTCAATCAAACAGGTTCATCTACACATGAGAATTGCAGTGCACATAAAGACTTCTAGAATGTCACTTATCCTTTTCCTTTCAAGACTTGATCAAGTTCATCAAACTTAAGTCCCATTGAAACCATCATGAAGTCATGATTAACCCTGCAGTTAATTTAAGCAAGGATAGTTCACTTGGATTGGCTCTAAGTCTTTCTCTTTCGATTATTATATAGTTGACAAAAGCAAAGGTCTTCTACGCATCTTCAAGACTATGAGAGAGTGACAAGCCACTGCGAAAGTTGTCCATAAATAATATAAGTCCCATTCCGCTGTTTCCTAGTTCAAAGGCTGATTGTTCATCATTCTCTTCCATCAGGGGCTCTTAAAAGTTGCCATAGACAATGCACGCGCTCAAGAAAAGCAAGTGCAGCTTGAAAAGACGGAGCTCAAAATGGAACTCTTCAGGGAACGAGAACTGAGAGAAACTCTTGAAAAACAGCTAGCAGTAGAGCAGAAGAACAGAGGTAAGAAAAAGAAAATAATAGCCTTGTCTTATTACCCTAGTTTTTCCAAGCTGTCTCAAACCATCAAGGTGCAATTCTTGCATAGTTTCTGTACTCAAGAGCCTTGATGATAGTACTGGATGGGGTGTCGAGTTATTTTTCATATCTGAATTGAAAGAATACCAGCAAGAACAGATAAGAGATCCTGGGGATGTCTGTTGTAACTAGAGAGCAAAGTTCCAAGAAGCTGTTTGGCTCTATTTCTCAACAATTACGAGTCCCAACAACAAAGAGTTTCCTTACTCCTTTTTGTACCACCATTATTCTCTGTTTCACAGTCTCCTTTCCACCACAACTATATGAACAACTAAAAGAAATATGAGAGTTGTTTAAAAAGATATGAATGTATATAAATGAGCAACATTGTGAATGTCACAATTTGTGAAATGAAGCTACACCCCAAAATTCCATTCAGTCAGAACTGAAGAAGCTTCTTGGTTGAGAAGTGAAATATCTTCAAGGAAAAAAGAAAGTCCAGTTGCCTTCTGAAAAAGCGTCTTTGGGACAACCAGGATCTGGATGAATGAGAATCTCCATAAACAACCACAGCTTTTACTTTATGGGAGGAATGGAAGAGGCTGAAAGTAGCAAAGAACAGATTGTCCCGAAGATACTTTTTCAAAAGGCAACTAGCCTTTCTTCTTTTTTTCTTGAAGACATTTCACATCTCATCCAAGAAGCTTCTTTGGTTCTGACTGAAAACAGTCTGTGAGATATCTGGAGAACAAACTGGCAGGGGTTGATTCTTTGTTCTATGGATGTGCAGAGTTTTGAAGTTTATTCATGCTTAATATTCTTGGGGCAGTTTCTTTCTTTTTCCAAACCTTCATTTCTGCCTTTCTAAAAGTGCTTTTAAATACGGGAAGGGATTGTAATACCTGGGTGTAGTCGTTGAGTTCCACAATCCCAACTTTGACCTGATGTTAGGGTATCCACTAGGAAGTGGCAGAGATCAACCAGGTGGTGGTTCATTTTTTACATGGAGCCCTGCAAAACCTGCCCTTGGAATTAATCTCTGCTCACTGCTTAAACTCCAGATGCATAAATGGAAAGACAGCATGCTAAACGTTGCCATAGCGATTATCACGGGGCCTAGAATAAATAAAATGTTAGAGACAAGGTCTTGTAGTTGAACTTGAATGGATTTTGTTTTGTTTTTTGTTTCCCCCACACACACACATAACAGCAATAATTCAGAAAAGATTAAAGAAGGAAAAGAAGGCGAAGAGGAAATTGCAGGAAGCGCTTGAATTTGAAACAAAGCGGCGAGAACAAGCGGAGCAAGCGCTAAAACAAGCCGCTTCCACCGATAACCTCAGGGTCCTAAATGGTAAGATGGTGAACTTCTCCGTCTGGCTGATGCTGGGATCAAATGGTTTTACTGAAAGCATCACAACTGCTTTAAGTGCAAGGAAGAGAAACAAACCACAGGCCCCTTTGGGGAAATAACACTTCTTATCCCTTGCTGATCGGATGTCTACATCTAAAACTGGAAGTTTTTAAGAAATTGGATGGTCATTTTTGTGAATGGTACAGAGCAGAGGTGTCAAACTTGATTTCATTGAGGGCTGCATCAGGGTTGTGTTTGACCTTGGGGGAATGGGATGGTGGTGGCCAGGGGGAGTGGCCAGCTCAATGTCACTCATTGAGGCTCCGTTTTGGCCACAACAGCCTCCTGCAGCCCTCTGCCTATGAAAATGGAGCTCAGGGAGGTCCACCTGGGTTCCATTTTTGGCCATAACAGCCTCCTACAGCCCTCTGCCAGTGAAAACAGCTCAGGGAGGCTGTGTTCCCTCCCAAGCTCTGTCTTTGCTGGCAGAGGCACTACGGGCCAGTCCTTCATTGTTTTCAGAATGGGCCTGTGGATCAGATCTAAGCCTCCTGTGGGCTGGATCCAGCCTACAGACCTTGAGTTTGACACCCCTGGTATAGGGTTTTCATGCTTGAGCAGGGGGTTATTCTGTTAAAAGGAAGAAGTCTAAATTTTTTTTTGAGTTTTATTAAATTATCAGCTTGGCCGTGTCCGCCCTCTCTCCCTGCTCTCACGATTCCTTCCCATCGATCTTGCTCATCACAAAATTATGGTGCTGGCCCCCATTTTTGTTCAACATTCAACATGGAGGCAAAGGTTGATTGTACGGTGATTCAGAAGTGGTAACAGGTTGTAAAAAGAGCCCTTTAAGATCCGAGTGAAATATGTGTCAGCTCTACCTTTTTGTGCTTTTTAGATTCTCTGACCCCGGAGATAGAAGCTGACCGCAGCGGGGGCCGAACAGATGCTGAGAGGACAATACAAGGTAGGAATTTTCAAAAGGCCATAAATCTGGATCGCAGTATATTAGTTTTTTTCCCCTCTACTTTAGCCTGCTATTCAAGCATGCAACCTGCCATCTGGGCCACATCAAAACAAGTTCATTCAAGGTCAGCTTCATCTGGCCTTTTTTTTTTTTTTTCCCCAGAAAAGAAAATTCATTTCATGTGATAGATTTTCTTTAAATTAGCAGGTCATTCCACATTATATAATGCAATTAGAAGAACAATTAATATGGGACGATGAAGAATTTCATTTGGCATGGTAAACACAAATGCACTGTGAGCCACAATGTGAGCCACACATTTTCAGTTTCAAATCTGGCTTAACTAGACAATTTTCAAGACTGGAATGCTTCATAATTTTCCAGTTTTTGAAACAAGCAAAAGAAATGAGAACACTCGGAATTTAACTCCTTAACTGTTATCCTGCACCTGAGTAGATTTCATCATCATTACAGTTATTCATATTTTAATATGTAAGTATAGAGAAGCAAAAAGTGGACAAGTAGCTCAGATATTCTAAAAAAATTATTTATACTGGCCCTATTTATCCCTGGGCCGAGGATGTTAATATGAATAATAAATAACAGGGAGACACAAACTCACAAAGCATTTATTTTCCAATTTAAAGGAAAGTAAATTCTTCAAAGACAATCTATAATGATTAACTAGAGTTGTCTTTTCATTTGCATTTTAAAGTCAATCTCTGTAAATGTATCATTTACTGTCTTTTTGCATTAAACCTGTTTGTAATTCTTGTGAGGCATTGTGGTTCCTATGCTGTGATAGCATAGGAAAATGTTGAGGAAGATAATAAGCAATGCAATAATTAAACATGCATTAATAACACTACTAATAAAAAGGAATAGATAGTTTGTCTCTTCTTCACACATCAGGAGACACATCGGAGAATTGGCCGTGAATTATTTTGCCAGGTGTGATCTCAATGACACCAGCCAGAAAGGTGGTAGATGGTTTGATGACTCATCATTGTTTCAAATATATTAGCTCTGTACAAACCACCTTGCTCTGAGCCAGTGAGATTAACTTAATTTAATGTTCTGCCTATCAGCATCTCAATTTCATTGAATTTGCCCGCCAGATTGTCCAATTCATATATTTTTTTAATGTTGTTGTTAACCAAAAACCCAACAGGTATATATTTCTGGAAGACACATGCAGGCGTTTTTGCCTGCCTGACATTCTAGGAGAAAGTAGAAACATCCAAACAATGTGAACTCTGTTTTTAAGATTAGTTATTCCGTCCCATCCCTAAAAAAATACGTGCCACAGGATGGAAGGAGGAGAAAAGGAGACATCCAAATTCACTGAGTTGTAAAACTTCTCTGAGCTTGGATTTTTATTGCTCACTTAGGTAACATCTGAAGGTAACAACTGCAAATGAAAAAATCAAGCTCAGAGAACTCATACAACCCAGAGTTATCTATATGCTCCACAGACCAAGTTTATGTCATCTTCTTATCTCCTGGAATTTTGAGTCAGTCACTTAAATGATATACAATGAAGATGTTTTTAATCTACCAATACTTACTGAGACAAAACCTCATATCCAAGACCTTCTAGCTGCAACAAGAGTGAACAGTGAATGTAATTGTGCTTCTTAGATGAAAAGGAGATATAAGAGTAAGAAATAAGCAACTTAACTTGGTCTTCAACACCAATAAGACCAAGAAGCTTATAGAAAGAACAGATCAGACATCCAGCCCTTGCTTATCAATGGAGACCAAGTGCAGCAAGTGGCCAGTTTTAAGTTTCTGGGTGTTACCCCAAAAGAGGGCCTGTCCTGTGGTGCTCACATTGCAGCCGTGTTCAAAAGGGTCCAGCAGAAATTATACTACCTGAGATTTCTCAGAAAACAACAACTGAATGAAAAACTTCTGGTGATCTTCTACCACTGCACCATAGACAGTATTTTAACTTACTGCACTTCTGTATGGTTTGCCAATTGCACAGTGGCAGATAGGACAGCACTCCAGAGTTAACATCATTGCCCAGAGGATCATTGGTTGCCCTCTCCTTTCTTTGGAAGAGCTTTATAGCTCCTGCTGCCTTAAGAAAGTGCAAAACAATCTCAAAGATCCATCTCATCCTGGGCACTCCCTTTTTCCCCCCAAACTATTACCATCTGGCAGACGGTACACAATAATAAAAACAAGGACAAATAGGCTGAAAGACAGCTTCTATCCTAGAGCAGTAGCTCTGTTGAATTCTACTGTCTAGTGCAGTATTGGTTCAGTGTCAGGGGTTTTCAATTCAATGTGTGGAGTGTGAAGGATGTGTGTTTGTGTTTATTTTCATGGTCATGATGTGCACTGAAGGAGTTTGATTTTGTTGTGTGAGGTGCAATGACAATAACGTAAACTAAACTAAACTTATTGTGCATCAGAGAAATTTGTGGTGTCCAGAGAGTTTGCCGATTGCATAACGAGACCACCAAATTTCTTCCTCCTTCTCTTTTGACATGAGCAAGATGATGATCATCTAGGAGGTTAAACAGCTTACATGTACTGTTTGTCATAAATATATTCACTATGGAGGTAATGAAACATAAATGTTATTCCTCTTGGCTGTATATAAATCAGAAGGTGATAGGACAGCTGTCTACTTACAAAGAGTCATTAATCTTTTGATTCTGAAAAATTGAGTGTGTTAGGAAAGCTTGTCAAAGTGAAGGAAGAGCATTTCATGAGTAGAATGGAGAAGTTTCATAGGAGAAGAAACAGTCCTGCATATATGCTGGAGCACTTCCTGCATTGAATATTTTAGTAACATTGGGGTTTGGTACTTTGCTATTGGCTACTTTTGTTATGGTTTGTTACAATTACTTTCATTACAATTTTGTCATATTATGAGGGGCGTGATGACTCAGAGGATAAAGATGCTGAGCTTGTCAGCTGAAAAGCTGATAACCCAGGTTGGAGATCCAAACGTTGCACAATGGGGTGAGAAACCATCCCTGCCTCAGTTCCTGCCCACCTAGCAATTTGAAAGCATACAAATGCAAGTAGATAAATAGGTACCACTTTGGTGGGAAGGTAACAGTGTTCCATGTGCCTTTGGCATGTAGCCATGCTAGCCACATGACCTCAGAAAATATATTTGGTCAACGCTGCCTCTCTCAGCCAAGAAACAGAAATGAGCACTGCCCCCTAGACTCTGACATGACTTGGCAGGGGAAAACTTGACCTCTACTCTTATTTTTGTTAATTGTGAGGGATATTTTTTATCATCAGTCATTTAATTTCTTATGGTGTCTTTGCATCAGAATAAATTTTGAGAGCAGCCTTGAGAAGGTTTTTCCAAAAGTAGGTTGCTTAAAATTAATTTGCACTGAATGCCGTTTTCAGATCAACTGATAGTTCTAAGTGAGTAAAAACACACTACTCAAATAAGTTGGCTTGGTGTCAAAAGCATAATATGTATTGAAATTTTTTAGAAGGTTTAGAATATTGTGGCTTACAAATTTGAGGTATTTTTGCTCCAATGCTTCCTGGGCAGAAAATATCCACACATTTAAAATACTCAAAGAATAAAACTAAACTTTATGTAGATTGTAATCTATAAAATTTCAGAGAGTTAACTTCACTTCAACTGTAAAGATGAATTGTAAGGAAGTTGGCTGATTCAATATTGATATTTCAGGAGAAGATAGTTAAGTCAAAACCCCAACTCTGGCATAGCAACTTGAAGAACATGGGATATGGATCATCAGTTATAAAAAGTTATTGTTAACTGATGACAAGGTATCAGTAAGAGAGTCTTGCTGCCTCTCTTATTGATACTTTGAAGTCTGGGTGAGGATTCCATTTGTGCATTCTTTGATATCTTTTTCAACTTCATGTTGAACCCAATACCTGATGACTTAATTGTCACAGGTGATTTTGACAACAGTAAAACTTCTTCCAGGGTCCCAGTGTATTTTGTTTTGGTCCTGTTTGTCCCTTGTTAATCTCACATCAAATCCTGACCTGCTTAGTGTATAGCAATAGCAATAGCCCTTAGACTTATATGCCACTTTACATGCTTTACAGTCCTCTCTAAGCGGTTTGTAGAGTCAGCATATTGCCCCCAACCATTTTGGGTCCTCATTTTACTCACCTTGGAAGAATGGAAGGCTGAGTCAACCTTGAGCCTGGTGAGATTTGAACTGCCAGATTGCAGGCAGCTGGCAGGCAGCAGAAGTAGCCTGCAATGCTGTCTCTAACCACTGTGCCACCACAGCTCATTATGGTCCAGCCAAGTCAACTAGTATGCCATCTACTGAGGTTTTAAACCTGAAAATGTCAAATTCATATTTTAGTCCAGTGGAAGAACCAAGTCCCAACAGGCTAAGAGGGATTTAAAACCAACAATGTCAATGCAAGAGGGGCTTAAAACCAAAAATGTAACAGCTCTTTCCAATGCAAAATAGCAATAGTTGTTCTTGGAATAATACATTGTTGTTTTCACCAAGAGATATGACATTTCAGGCAAATTCCTATATCTGTTGTAATGGCAGCTAATGGAAAGATCAACCACCCCACAGTAATTTTGCAAAGAAAATAGATGAATGACGAAATCCTTCAAGCATGGCACCATCACTTCAGTCCCGTTCCAAACTAGTCAAAGCGAAAGGAAATTAAATCTGTAATGAGGACACAGAGGATCATGGAATTTTGCAGTGTAGTGAAAAAAGTTAGAAAAACCAATGTAAACCGCCTTGATTTGCCATGTGCAATATAAATTTTAAAGGTGGCAATATAAATTTTCTAAATAAATAAATGTGGTGAACTACAAACTGGAAGATTATGTCCCTTTTAAGTTCTCAGAATAGGAACAAAAGAAAGATGAATAAAGGTTTCTACTACTTCTAGTGTAGTCCACCTCAATAACTAAAATCTGTAGAGCACCTCTGAATGGATGCAATCCCAGTGACTGACCCAGACACGTGCAGTGTTTTCTACCGTTTTGTGCTTATTCACCC